CGCTGGTGGAATAGGGGTGGTGCCATCTATGAATCGCTTTAGCTGAGCGATCTCAAGCTGCGGCTCGATTGATTCTGTCCACGTCGACAGGTCGTGACGTCCTTCTAACGGACTAGTGACAACGATCTTGTCTGGAGTGAATCTGAAGTAGCCATAGTTGGGGGCTATTCCCTCGTCCCTCGACATCGATCCAATCGGGGTAACGCCCGGCATAGTCTCACTATCGAACTCTTCCGCAATTCCTCCTCCAGCAACGCTTCGCCGTCCTACATTCGCATGCTCTCGTGACGCTGCTGCACGATGAACACGCTCCTGTACACCGCCGACGCTAGCCGTACTAAACCGAGTTGGTCTTCGCAGGACCCCACGCGACATCAACCCATCAAACTCCTCGTCATCGCTATTTCCGCCATCGACAGCCATATCCCACGCACTCGTACCTCCCGCAACTTGCTCAACATTCTCTACACGTGGGGAAGGGTGCTCACGACGCCGACGCGAGCGCAATCCCTCCAACATTAGCTCGTATTCAATATCACTAATCTCACCACGAGAATGACGAGCCACGAGATCCTCCTCTAGAGTGCGCAAATTACCGGCCTCCACGTTCGCCTCCTCAGTACTCATCCTCTACGACGTCTCTATAAGGTACCACAAATTAAAATAAAGTGCCCCTTCCTTAAATCCCTCGTCTCGGGGTCACCTCACAAGGGTCCTCAGACGAGTGGTAATAAATTACCAAACGCCCTATCCTTGGGTCCGAGAACGTAACTGGAGGGAAATCAAGAGAGGTTCAACTTAGATTAATAAGCGCCCTTCACTAACGCCGCACGCCAAGGCGAGTATACGAACGCGAATATCAACGACGACGTAAATCTATGCGTGTTCGTTCCACGCTCACCGCACCATGAAGGAATCTATTAGAGAGCGTAGCGATAACGAGAGAGTTTCTGCTATGGGAATGATGTTGCGCCAGCAACTTGGTAGGGTTTCGGTAGCATTTGCCTCTAAGGACTTGGTGAGAATTGAAATAGCATTTTGGACTTCACTAGGAACATAGAAAATATATCAAACACACAAGCAACACAAACATATATAGGCAGGCGAGGGTTTCACAAGAGGTTGCGTGGGCGCTGCGAGTAACCCAACCCCACGAAAGTGGTGTGTGGGTGAGCGAACGCGCCTCGCCAATTTCTCAACCCAACTCAGCATCGACTTCTCGCTTCCGTGCACACCACTCCACCAACCTAGCAAAGAGTGGTGCGACTCTCAAGGAAGCACCAACAACTCCCACGGACTCTCACTTCTTCATGCGACCTCCATCGAACTCATTCGTCGGTGCCGAGTAGACTCAGTCGCTAGGCGTCGACCTGCCAAGTCAAAGGTCATCGAGGGCCCTTGCTGTTGTAGGGCCCTCTAACACGCTATGGCTGTGCGCGCAGTAGCAGGAATTCGAGTCTCGTCCGCGTGTGTAACGATTCTCCTCTCTCCTGTCCCTGCTCCCTCCTTCCCCTCCTGCCCCGCATAACGTATTACTCCCCACGGCAGTGCGCGCAGCTGTCGTGGCTGAAGCAGCAGGACCTCCCAGTCTCGTGCGCTCAGAACGACAACTCGGTGAGTCACCCGCAGCCGTCTCATGTCCTCCCTGCCGTCTCGTATCATCTGCCGTCTATTTTTGCCCACAGTACATGCGACTGCCTCTCCTTCTCTCTCGTCCTCATCTCCCAGTCTCGTGCGCTCAGAACGACAACTCGGCGAGTCACCCGCAGCCATCTCGCGTCACCCGCAGCCATCTCGCGTCACCCCTGCCGTCTTGCGTCATCCCTGCCGTCTCATTTTCGCCGTCCATACGTGCGATTCCTTCTCTCAATTTCTCTCACCCGCCCTCCCTCTCCCCCATCTCGCTTCTCCCCCTCCCCCATCTGCGCCTCGTGGGGATCAGTGCGTGAGCAGCGATCAGCTATGCGACGGCCTTGTCCCCCTACCCTGACCTTGCACTTCCCCCGCTCTTCCCTCCCTTTTCTTCCCCGTGTCTCCCCCTCCGCCAGTGGTACTGTGCATCGTGGGACCAGTGCGTGAGCAGCGACCAGCTGTGCGACGGAACTGCGGATTGCAACGACGAGAGCGACGAGCTGCCGTGGGAGTGCGGAGGGTACGAGGACGGCTGTCCGCCTGACATGGTAAACATTGATTGCAGACTTGTCGTGTGATTGGAGTGATGGTAGCGACGAGAATGATGAGAGCGACGAGCTGCCGTGGGAGTGCGGGGGATACAAGGACGGCTGTCCGCCTGACATGGTAAGGGAGTGAGGGGAGTAAGTAGGGGTGCATCCACACGGAATCCCGCCTGTCAAAATCATTTCGGCTGGTGATTCGACACCGCTACAGTGTACACTGGCGCACTCTCCCGCTTCTCACTCAATTCTCTCCTTCTTCCTGCTCCCCAACACCACACCCACCAGATTGCCTGTCCAGTCACAACCATATCTGCCAAGCTATGGTGCATCCACCCAGCTGCAGCATGTGACGGTTCTACCGACTGCCCCTTCAGCGCCGATGAGTGGCCGGGATTCTGCGTGGACTTCAACAGCAAAGCCACCTGCCCGAACTATCCGAACCAAGTGCACTGCCCCGACGGCCAAATCTGCGGTTCAGGCATGGTGTGCGATGGCGTGGCTGATTGTCCGTCGGTGTCGGGAGGAGCGGGGACCGGAGGGGGTGGGGGAGGAGGAGGAGAATTGGGAGGAGGAGCGAGTGGGGGGCTGTTCCCTTCGGATGAGGATCAGGATTACTGTGCGGTGTACGAGTGTCCGGATGGGTACTGGAAGTGTGGGAATATCGTGCAGTGCATAGCTGAAACGCTCAAGTGTAACGGCGTGCAGGATTGCAGCGATGGGAGTGATGAAACGGACTGCAGTGGCTCGGGTGGGAGCAACAGCAGTGACTCGGATTCTTCTCAAGATGACACGACCTCTTCTGGAATTGACACGTCTGGAGATGACACCAGTGGAGGAGGTGATACAACTGGGCCCTCAGACGGATCACCTGGAGATGTAACGGGAACTGGAGCGGGAGGAACTGGAGCAGGAGGAACTGGAGCGGGAGGAACTGTAACGGGAGGGACGGTTACTGCTACTACACCTGTACCTCCCACACCCAAGCAGGTTCCCCCTCAGGTGATTCCTGGTACAGGTTCAGTAAGCAAGGCGATTGGCAACGCACAGGGTGCTGTTACCCAAGCAGCTAATGGCGCAGCGAAGGCCATTGGAGGGCTGGCGAAGAAGCTTATAAAGGGGGGAAGTGCGAGAAAGAAGAAAGTGAACCCAGGGGTTGTGCCAGGAGCAGGGGGAGCTGCAGCGAGCGGAGCAGCAGGTGGTGTCGGAGGAGGTGATACGCCAGGTGGAACCTCAGGTGATGCCTCAGGTGATACCTCGGGTGATGCCGCAGTTGACGGTGCAGGTGATTCGTCAGGCGGTGCTTCAGCTGATGGTTCTGGTGATGCTTCAGGTGAAACTTCAGGGGGAAACAGCGGCACTGGTACTGGCACAGGAACCTCCTTGGTTGGTGCTCAGAGCAGCCCGACAGGCAGCAGTGGCAGTAAGAATGGTGGTTCTAAATCAGGGACTGCGTTTACCACTCGCACCGTTGCAGAACCGAATCTCACTCCTTCCGACCCCTCAGCTGGGACAAGTGGGGGCAAGAGGGGAGGAAACGCAGCGTGGAGCGGACAGGATGGGATTAGAAGTCAAAGAAGAAAAAGAAGAACCGGGAGGGATTCTGGGCGTGGGTGAAGAGGAAAGCGAATGAAGCCAAGACAACGGTGCAGGCTGCAGCAGAGAAAGGAAAGGCACAAGCAACGGCACAGCTGAAGAAAGTGCAGAAGAAGGGGGGAGCAAACAAAATGCAAGGGAAGGATGCAGCTCAGGCGAACCAGGTGCAAGCGAAGGTCGCTCAAAAGAAGCAGGGACAGCAGAACAGAAAGGTGCAGGCGAAGAAGGGTTAGTGGGGAATGGGGAGCGGGGCATGTGTGGATTTTGAGAAGCAGTCTGTGTGTGTGAGTGAATCACTTTTGCTACTGATTGGAATTACCATGTTGTAACATACAATTGTATTTTATTATTTATCTTATCACATACAACCTTTCAAAATACTTTGAAGATGCCCTAAAATTATCACATAGAACCCTAAACTTCATTTATTATATCGGAGATGCCCCAAAACAAAGCTTGAATGTCCAGTTGTTACGAGTGCAATTGAGTGAACGAGCGAGAATTGCACTATCGAAGCAAGCGTACAATGAGCGAAGGCATAAGCGAAGAATATATAGTGACACTATAGTGGTAACAGTAATGCATGAAAAGTGGGGTGCGCGACGGGCCTGGCGCCGAGGTTGGGAGATGCCAAGGCGGAGGTCTGGAGCGCGGGTTACCAACCGAACCGTGAGGTTGGGTCGCGTCGTGAACAGTGGCGGGAATAGTGTCGAGGCGAATGTCGCGAATGGTAACGGCTTACTGTTGGGTGCTGTTGGCGGGAACAGTGGTGTACGCGCTGAGCAGGGACGCGAAGTAAGGAAAAGGAATTTTCCTTACACCAGTCCAGACTTATTTTCAGTCCTCATTCTTTCCGCTAGGGTACTTCCCTATCACTTGCCATCATATAGAGCTAGGAGGGCTCGTATTTGTGCCTTCTTCCTTATACCGTAGTAAGGAGACATAAAGTATGTAAGTATGAATGACCCACATGTCACCACAGCTCAGTACAAGTGCAAAGCATTATTGTGGATGTGATGAGCACTTCAGACTGTTTGGGGGTACAGAAAAACAATCGTATACTACTAGTACTTTCACAAATGAACATCAATCGTAATCGTATACTGGTACTTTCACAAATGTATACTGGTATAATTGTAATCGTATACCAGTAGTTCCACAAATGAACATCAACATGCCAAACATTCGATAATTACGAAGGCATTACCACATAACCAGACACCCTATATATTAAATAGAGTGTGGCGTGGCACAGTCTCTCGTCATCTCATTCACCAGCTCCCTTCGCCTCCCTATAATATGATCCGTCCACTCGTTAGTACGCGCATCCACCACCTTCCCATACATGCACGCCAGCTCGCGCTTATACAAATCATACACAAACGTCGCGTTCCTCCTCTTGTGCTTGATCGCCGGCCAATCATACCAGTCCATTACATACTGCCAGATCTGCCGCTGCTCATATTTCAACACATCGCCGCACCGATCGAGCGCGCCCTTGGGAAACGCGTGGCACAGGGCCTCGTGGGCGTAGTAGCCTGCTAGAGCCACGTAGATCTTGACGACGCGGGGGGCGTTGTCGCTGTTGTTGGTGGCTGTGCGGAAGGGCTGTGAGTAGGACATGTGCACGCCCACACGTGGGATGGGCACATGGTTGGTCCACTCTAGCGCCCAGTGCACCTGTGAGTTCGGGGAAGATGGAGGAGAAGAGGGAGGTGGGTGAGCAGAGTAGAGTAGGACATGTGCACGCCCTCGTGTGGGATGGGCACGTGGTTGGTCCACTCTAGCGCCCAGTGCACTTGTGGGTATGATGGAGAGGGGAGAAGGTGAGGGGGGCATGATGAACAGAGTATGACATGTGCAAGCCTACGTGGGGGATGGTATGGTATGACGTGGCATTGCATGGCATGGCATGGCATGGTATGGTAAGATATGGCATGGGATGACATGATATGATACAGCCCAAGCTCTTTCCACGTCACCACATCAAAACCCGGGGTCTCTTGTCACACAAACACATCACACATCCCTGCCTGCTCGCCTGGTCCTATCCTCTCTGCCCACCTCATCCTGGGTGAATGCCCACATGACAGTGAAAGCCCTTGCTCTGTCACCACACAGGGATTACATTCTCTGAATCCCACATGCCTGCCTGCCTGCCTGCCTGCTCACCTCGTCCTGTGTGAAGGCCCACATGAAATTGCCCAGAGTCGTGTGGGCGATCTGCGTCCTGCTCAGCACAAGGAAGGAATGAAAAAACACACAGCCGGCACAGGGAAACCATGAGCGTGGGAAGGGCACACATCAAACTGACTTTTGCCCGTGCTGTTTGTTTGCCCATCAAGCATCAGAAGCATGGCACCTCAACCACAACATTTTCCTGCTTTGGCTCATACCTACATACAAGACTCTCAGACGTCTCAGAGTCTTGATTCGTTTGTCCTATAGTCGTCTCAGACTCAGCTTTTCAGCTCAGCTCTCGGATATCAGCAGGACAGGCGTGCGCACAATGTCTGGTTAGAAGTGGATTCTTGAAATCCTCTCGAGTGCATGAAAACCCGACACACCTCTCGAATTTTGGCCCATGCCGTGCAAAGTTTTAGAAGGCGGCGTCAAATCTCTCTTAGCCATGCACCCAGCCCACCCACAAACCTTTCAAACTTTGGCCCGTGCCACACAAAGTTCTGGAAGGCTGCATCAAAGCTCGCAAACTTTCCATCGCGGATGTGTGTGACGTGGTCTCGGAACTTGCGCAGCATGTCTCAGACTCTTGCTTTGCCTCAGACCCAGCTTGCGAACTCCAGCAAGACTGACTCAGGCGTGCACAGGGTTTGATTCCATTCCGATGCTTGTGATCCTCCCAGGTGCCTAAGGGTATGTAAAATTGTAACGACCATAGTGAATGGTCGACCATTCGGGTGTTTCTGACGATAGCGAAGAACTCATGGTAACGCGCATAGATTAGTCACCCCGACTTGACTGAATATCGATGGTACTTCTTGCTAAAGTTGCACCCACTGCCTCTTTGGTACCTACCTACCTACCGACCTTGTGCTTGCCCCCGAACATGCCCGCCTAACCTCACTGCTTTGCTAAACACTATTTTTTGTTTTCGTCCCCCGTGGATTCTATCCCCCCGTTCGAATGCTCCATCTGGAAATAAACATTTCGCTTTCAATTATGGGGGTGGTTTTGTGTGGGTACCCCACGTGCTGGCGAAATGTGTAGCAATGTTCGCTGACACGTTACACGTTTCGCAATCGCCTGAAACACCCAAATGGTCGGAAAATCGCTTTGGTCATTACAATTTTACACGCCCTGAAAACCCGACGCACCTTTCGAACTTGGGCCCATGCCGCGCAAAGTTGAGGAAGGCGGCGTCAAAGCTGGCGAACTTGCCGTCGCGGATGCGCGTGACGTGGTCTCGGAACTTGGGTAGCACGTCACGGGGGAAGACAAAGGGCAGCTGCACCATGAAGTTGGCGAAGTAGTAGGGCTTGCCCACGAAGTAATGGGTGGAGGGCACCCAGTGGTTCATCTGCTTCTGCCGGCTGCCTATCACATACGGCTTGCCGTCCGTCAGGTTAAAAAGAAGACCCGGGGTCACCTGGAGTGGGGAGAGGTGAGTGGGGGGACGACAACGGGGGATAGGAATATGAAGGGGTGGCTCGCGGTCCGTGAGATTGAAAGAGTAGCCCTGGGGTCACCTGAGAGGAGAGAGGTGAGTGGGGGGAGGACAAGGGATGATGCGGGGTTGGGGATGACGAAGGGCAGGCGCACCATCAAGGCCAGCTGGCTGTCGGGCAGATTGGAGAGCAGATTGGAGAGCAGATTGTGTGGCGAAAGACGGGGAAAGTGGGGGAGGGGAGGATGGAGAGAGGTGGGGAGGGGGGAAGGTGGGCTGGGTGTGCCATTGGGAAAGCACCTAGTTGAAGTGGTTCATTTGCGGCTGCGGATCACATAGGGATTGCCACCCGTGAGGTCGAAACTGTCAAGAGGATGGTCTCTTCCAGCAATGATACCACATGAGGGGCTCACCTTGAGGTTGAAGATGACGTCATCATCTATGATGGCAATGTACGGAGCAGTGGTGTAGTTGTCGGCCCACAGGTAGCTCCACTGCTGGAGGATCTTTCCAGGAAGCTTCAGATAGTTCTTCTCGTAGTACACCTGGTGGTTATTGGAGGGGAAAATGGGCCGGGGAACGAACAAGGGTTGCGATTGTTGATGAGATTAGTCTTGAACAAGCACGGGCGCTAGACACCAAGTGCTGATGGTTGACAGCAATTCGAACTCTTTCAAGGCTCGTTTCATACGTGCCATGATTTCGTCCGTGCTTTCACACAAACGCCACGTCTACCCTGTGCGACGACCAAATTGGAATTCATTTCCGCATTGTTGCCCGCCTGGGATGCAGAGCATTGGCTACAGATTCCAATTTGCTGAATTGGCTTAGTAGTGAGTTAGAGTGGTTCTCTGCAGCATTGTTACCTTACTGATGTGACCTGGACCTGGATTGACCCCCGTTGACTCTCGTTGACTCCCGTTCCCTCACCTTGATCCACGTGGGCACGATGTCCTCCACGATTTGGTTGTCCTCGTCCAGCACCAGGATGACGTCACCGATGCCACGTGGCCACATCTGCTCGATGCTGTCGAAGAGCATCTCCAGCAGGAAGAACGTGTCCGACACGTAGCTGCGAATCAGCAGGTCCACTCGCGCCGGCCACAGAGGTCTAACGAGTGGAGAGGGGAAGAGGGGGCGGGTGGGGGATGGGGGAGCAGGCAAGGGGGGTTGGGATGAAGAACGTGTCCGACACGTAGCTGCGAATCAGCAGGTCCACCCGCGCCGGCAACAGGGGCCTGTTACATGGGGATGACGTGGGGAAGGGGGAGGGGGAAGGAGGAGAGAGGGCGGGGGTGAGGGGAGAGGGGAGATGGGGGAGAAGAGAGAGAATGTCAAGGAATTTACAACTTGAGCCGGATGGAAGTATCCGTCACAGCTGGAATTGAGCTCTTACTGAGCATACGAATCAACGAGCTTGCTCGTGAGCACTGAAAAACACGGTCGGTTATAAAGAAAGTAGGGAACGAAGAAGAAGAGAGAAAAGAAAAGGAAAGAGAGAAAAAAAAGACAGAGACTTACTTATAGGCGTCGTCGTAAAGCTTGAACAGCTCCTTCACGCAGTGTCCCGACTTGGTCCGACGTTTACACGATCCGAAGCAGTTGTCGTTCCCCGGACTTAGACCAATCCCTCCACACGGATCGATCTGCGTTTCGATCCCCACCCGCATCCCTCCAGAGCTCTTTTCCGACGACCCTTCCACGTCGGAAAAGCCGTCCGTAGAGCCGTACATCCCCGCTTTAACGTCCGCGTCGGCATAGTCACGATCCGTTAAGAGCGAGTTGAACGGCCGGTCTAATAGCGAGCTACCGCCGATTGAGCTGACTCGGCCGAGGGTGTTGGCGATTGCGAGGAGGACGATGAGGGTAATTCCGGACATTAGACCTAGGCATAGTGCTTGTCGGCGAGTTAAGATGAGAAATGGGGAGGCGTGGGATTTATATTGGAGGTCTTTTGGTTGCTTGGGAGAAGCAATGGCAACGGAATCCGTCTTTCTCATGGTGTCGAACGCCATCGGAAGGGAGACGGCTTGCAAGCTATGGACGGAAATGCTTAGCTGAATAATCAAACCGTTCAAGATGGTCTTTTCACGCGCGATTCTCCTTCGGTTTGTTGTCGGTCTATCGAGCCTTCTTCACGAGAGAATACCAGGCGTGAAAAGTTGGAAGTTGCGTAGTTTCAGATGAGGTCTCGATGTCACTATCGCATACAGCCATGCAGCAACCGAGTCAAGAAATCCATAATGAAATCAACCTTCTAATTCCTGTAATGTCTGGATCGCGTATCGGTGTTGAGAAGTGCATTACAGCATACTACCACCTGCACTGCTTGAGTAAGAATTGGCGAGCTGGGTTGAAACTATGACTGCAGACTAAAATCTGTTGACGGGAGATTACAAAACGAAAGGTATCACGAGAGTGAGAGAACAAGCGCAGGGAACCGACTAATGTGAATGCTACCTCGTGAACAAGCGCAGGGAACCGCAGGGAAACTGAATACTACCTGCCGTTAGTTGGCCGGTGGGTGGGTGACTTCAATGGTTCGTCAATTGTCAGAGTATACTCGAGAAGCAGAATGGTTTCAAGGTTCTATTCTGCTGCTGATTACCACCACACGCACATTGCCGAGCCGGGAGAAGCCGGGAAGCGGGAAAACTTGAGCTGCGATCTTGAAAACTGGGCCACTGATTGGCTGTGGCGAATTTATGTCGGGCACGATGCAACCGACCAGAGGATGGAGCCCCGCCCCCCGCGAGAATGATGGTGATGCATGTGGCGTGGATGGTGGTTGGGGAGGGTGAGGCGGGCTGCTGAGAAGCATTTGCTTGTTCACGCTGACTGGGACCTGATGGGAGTTTTTTACAAAGATGATGACGCCTTTTGTAACATTTAAACAATAATTCAGAGTGTATTACTGCCCTTGTTACGGGGCCGACTTTTTCTGCCCCAGTTGTGGTGTCGGTCGGCCAGTCCTTTCCATGGGTTACGCTGTAGCACCTGCGAATGGAGTCATCCAGGTAAGGCACCTGAAAGACTTCCAGATCAGAGGCCAAGGTTACGTCTCTTGGATGAACAAGAGGTCACATCTTGCCGTCGTCCCTGCCCTAGTTGCGAAAATTTCCGTTTTGAACAAGGCTCGGCTTCCATTGACCGCGTCAACAGTCAACGGGTAGAAGGCAAGAAACATGGAAAACGGCATTTGTGACGGTGGCGGCCTACCTGCGTTCCGGGACAGGTTGAATCAACCTGGGGAAGGCAGAACTGTGTCCACAAACGGGTTTCAACTATACATTACGAAAGAGACTAGTTCCTTATCGAGCTGTAAATTACTCAACCATTTTCAAACAAAAATTTAGTGAAGCAGGGAATTGGGTTGGGTGTTCAGAGTATGGGTTGCTTTCTCTAGTCTTGACAAAAATGCTACACAATGGGAAAATCGGCCATCAAAGAAGCAACTACGCCTGATTCGAAGGAATACATTTCTTTCTCAAATCCTCCACCAACATCTTGCGATTATTCTCCACCTCATCCGTCCTCCAATCATGCGTTCTTGCCAACACAACCTGGCTATACATACACTGCAGCTCCCACTGGTACCAATCATACAAAACCTTTGCACCTTGCACATGCTTTCGTATCATGGGCCAATCATCCCAATCCATGGCATACCTCCATATCTGGTCCTGCGGCCCAGCAACATCCTCGCAGTTTCTCAACTTCCCTTCAGGAAAAGCATGGCACATGCCTTCATGCGCATAGAACCCCACAACGTCAACATATGCCTTGGCCAATCGGTGCTCTGGGCCTGAATGGCCAGTGATGTTTCGGAACTTCATCGTGTAAGGGATATGCACACCCACTCTTGGTAACGGTGTAACTGGTGTCCACTCAAGCACCCAGTGAACCTGATGTCAAAGAAAGAAGAATAGAAAGAGTGTGGAAATGTTTACACAAAGTTGGGAGCTTGGGAAGGAGGCGTTGGAAGGGGCATATCGAAGAGGGCAAGGAGTGGGAGAAAACGACGTAAAAAAGGGACAAGTAGGTGGGTGAAAGTGTCTGCATCTGTTTGGTTCGGCATGGATGTGTGTGGCTTGGCATGCAAGGCATGGATGTGTTTGTTTCCCATCACCAAGGAAGCAGCAAGTCAGCACTTACAGAGTCATTGGCAAAGAACCACATGTAGTTGCCGAGTGTTGTGTGCGCTATCTGTGTCCTGCAATAAAGGAAACATGTAGACGCGTTGGGCAGAAACAGGAAACATAAAGCAAAACGAGACAAGAGATTGACGGAAGGTGGAGTGGGGGGCAAAGATAAGAAACACCAGAAAACGAAACTGAAAGCAGAAAAGAAAAGAAAGAAAACAAAAGAATAGAAATCATATCCTAGTCTACTTGGTGCAGAGCTCTCACTTGGCAAAGGATGGCCCGTGATCTGCAAAGTACTTGACAGCCGCATTAAAGTCCTTCTTGTGCCGCTTGGCTGCCCTCCTTCTGAACTCTGGCAGCACGGATCGTGGGAAGACAAAGGGCAGCTGCACCATGTAGTTGGCGTGGTAGCGGCCGACAAAGTAGTAGGAGGACGGCTTCCAGTTGTCTGACTGCGTGTTCTTGCTGCCTATCACGTACGGCTTGCCATTGGTCAGGTTGAACAGCAGTCCTGGGGTCACCTGGGAGGGGGGTGGCTGAAGGTGCTGAGAGAAGTGATGGGAGGGCTTCCAGTTGTCCCCATGCGAGTTCTTGCTGCCAATCACGTACGGCTTGCCGTTTGTCAGGTTGAACAGCAAACCTGGGGTCACCTGGTGTTGAGGGAGAACAGGGGAGTGAAGGGGAACGGGCGGAGGGGAAGGGGGAGAGGGGGAAAAGGGGGAGCAGGAAAGGGGAGACGGAGTGTTGGGATGATACAGTGCAATGGGAAGCAGCACAGCGCGCGGGCGGGAAGACAAAGGTTGGCTGCACCATGTAGTTGGCGCAGTAGCGACCAGCGAAGAAGTAGTTTGACTGCGTGTTCTTGCTGCCGATCATGTATGGCTTGCCATTGGTCAGGTTGAACAGCAGCCCTGGGGTCACCTGGCACGAGGGTGATTAAAAGGTGTTGAGAGGGGTGAATGGAACGGCTTCCAGTTGTCTGACAGCGTGTCCTTGCTGCCAATCACGTACGGCAAGCCGTCTGTCGTGTCGAGTTGAACAGCAGCCCGGGGGTCGCCTGTGGGGGGGGGGGAGTGTGGTTGAGAGGTGATGGGTGGGGTGTGATGAGGGAAACAGCGACTCTTAGGCGCGTCCAGCTGTCTCTGCTGTCTGTCCTTGCTGCCTGCCAGGTTGAACAGCAGGCTTGGGGTGAACAGGAAGGAGCCAGACATTCAGCCAGCCATTGAGACACACAATGGGCCAGACTTGAGCCCAGATTATCAGTCGCTCCTTGTGCCAACTCTCGACCCATAAATTGACCCAGGCATCAACTATAATGATGCTCCACGGTGCTGCGCCGAAGTAGTCAGTTCATAAGGGCGCTCATTCATTACTTCCAGCAAAACCATAGGGGGCTCACCTTGAGGTTGAAGATGACGTCATCATCTATGATGGCAATGTAAGGTGCGGTGGTGTAGTTGTCGGCCCACAGGTAGCTCCACTGCTGAAGTATTTTCCCGGGCAAATCCAAAACGTTCTTCTCATAATAAATCTGACTGGGAAAAACGTGAAAGAGGAACAAAAAGAAATTGTGAAAATGCAAAAACATAGTGTGATGATAACAGACTAATTGCTCTGATGGACCCACGTTGACCCGCGTTGACTCACCTTGACCCAGGGTGGCACAATGTCCTCCACGTGGCGGTCGGCCTCATCCAGCACCAGGATGACGTCACCAATGCCAGCTGGCCACATCTGCTCGATGCTGGCAAAGAGGAACGCCGTGAGGAAGAAGTTGTCCGACACGTAGCTGCGCACCACCAGGTCCACCCGTGCGGGCCACAGCGGGCGGTAAGCTTCGTCATATAGCGACAGCAGCTCCTTCACGCAATACCCCGATTTCGTTCGCCTGTGGCACCTCCAATTGTAGCACCTACCGCTGCTGCTGCTTCTGCTGCCATTGCTGCCGCTGTGACTGCTGTTCCTGCCATTGTAGCTGCTTCCACCGATCCCCCCACACGGATCCTTCAGCCGCTCCAACCCATCCGCCGTATAGTACCTCTCGTCACTCTCACCTCTACTCTCGCTATTGTCACCTGAACCCCGATCGTCACTCCCCTCTGAAGCTCCATCTGTTACCTTCGTTACAAGTTTTGAACCTGTAGTGTTCAGGATCGAGGTTTCGGCGTCAAATGTGTCAGCTGCAAGCTCATTCCAAAATTCAGATTCGTCAGTTTCGCGAGATTCGTCTGATTTATTCTCTGCTGACGTGTCCGTTAGCAATGCAGAACCGCCGTCTGCGAGTGCTGAGATTTGCGACGAATTCGGTGTAGCGGAAGAGGTTTCAGGTGACGTGGAATCCACGGGGTCTGAGACGAGGATGCGACGTCGAGACGAGATGACGGAAAACGTCAGGGCGATCAGTCTGTTCCGAGTAAGCTTCTTGAAGCCTGACGAAAAATTATCATGCTTATTATCGATCAGTGGAGGTTGACACAACGACGAGATTCGACCGAGCTGGAAAGCAAGCGAAAGAAGGATGATAAGAATAACGGCGGAGCCGACAACCAGACGCGCTGCTTGTGACCGCGAAATGATCACAGCCCGAAGAGAAAGATCACACGGACTGGAATCACAAGTCACTTCAGCCAGACAGCGCTTGGAACAATCGGAATGGTCGGAATGATCGCAATGGTGGGAACGGTCGGAGCTTGCAGGTTGTGAAAACTGGAAGGCCTCGAGAGGAGCGTCGACATGACGATGGTCGTCAATCAGTCGCTTCATCCCTTGTCCAACGCGAGAAGCCTTCTGAATTACCTCAAAGGTCCAAAGCCATCCAGGCGTGGCAATCTGCTTTAACGCGGGAACGGGAAACGATCCCCCTGTGTTTACAATTGCCACGAGCTGCGACTAAGGGACTGCTCGCCTGCTTGCTAGACCCCAGGGAAGGCTTGACAGACAGCAATCATTGTAAGCGGAATGTCATCTACGTGTTGCCAGACCCCAGGGAACGCGTGGCGAGAACCGCGTAATTTGACGATGTGCGCGTTGCACTAACGACCAGCCATCTGTGAACGGCGAGGTGAGAGATCGAGTATTCGTGCCACTTGTCAGACTACGAGTCGGGACAGTGGCTACAAGAGAGATTGTATCTCCAGCTTCTTGCATCCATGGCTCTCTAAAAAAGCCTGTCGCTAGAAGCTGATGGGATGTCATGCGTTTCCATTCAGGGCTCGTTTGACGCGATTGGATACGGTTAGCCACGTTTGAGAGCGGTTCTCGAGTTTCATCGCTTTAGACCTTTGCGCACCAGAATGGACCTTTCAGAGTCAGCTGTCAACAAACGAGAATCTTTCGAAGACGACCTACTCTCAGGCGCTGTTCTGCAGGCGTTAAATTGCAAGAAACTGGGTCCGCAGAATCTTCCCCGATAAGTTAGCTTCTGCCTATCAACATTTGGTGATAAGCGCGGTCCGGCCAAACCTGCTTGCGCCAAATTTAACACTGCAGACTGCAGAACGCCACTTCTGGGGCACACAAATTTAACGGGGTGAAGATTCCACGATGTTGCTTCTCCAGGCAAATGCCGCACAACTTGTGCGGACCCAATTCTGCCTCGAGAGGTAGCATCAGCCAGCGCACAACTTATGCGGGGCAGCAATTTGAGAGATTTGAGAGTTTGACGAGACTTCGTGGCAACACCGCCCAGCAAATTGAGAAATTTGACATTTGGTGCGGTGAGAAGCTACGGGGAAGGACTGGGACCGTACATTTCATGCGGAGGCAATAACGCCTACAGAACGCGGCCTCAGTGCTCCTGTCCAATAGCCGGATCAAGTTGCCAGATGATAGAACTATGTAGCTAATTTTCTAGAGATTCTAACATACTGGTACGGAATGGCTATCTTCCAAATCAACATATGGTTTGGAACCTTCTCACATAAGTTTTTTTGTATAACAACTGGGACTATATTGATACATCACGACTCTGATCCAGCATTGCAAAATATATTTTCAAACCAAGAGAAGCAGATTCATGCCAGCCATACGACCATAGAGAAATTCCTCTCCCTGGCCTTACACTGCTCTTGCTCCTCAGTACTTGTTGGAGTGTGGAACGATGCAGTTTTTCGTCAATTCCTTCACCAGCTCCTGCCGCTTCCCCTCCACATCCCCTTTCCACTCCCCTGTCTTCGCTCCCACCACGCGCTCATACATACACTTCAACTCCCACTTATAATCATCATGCATCACCGTCCCATTCACTGTCCCGCTCTGGAAAATCGACCACTCACTCCCGCTCAGCGCGTACCTCCAAATCTGTCCCTGCTCCCTCGACGCGTCCTCGCAATGAGCCAATTCCCCCTCCGGAAATGCGTTACACAGCCCCTCATGCGCGTACGTGCCAGTCAAATCGACATAAGTTTTCACGAGTCGTTGGGGAGGGCCGGCGGCGGGGCCAGAGGCGTTGCGGAACTCGTGGGTATGGGGGATGTGCACTCCAACGCGCGGGATGGGCGTTCGAGACTCCCACTCGAAGGCCCAATGTGCCTGCGAGGGGGTTAGTTGGAGGTGGAAGGAGGCAGAGGGAACGTGGGGAGATAGGTAGGTGTTGGGAAATCATTGGCACGAATTCGTGTGGGGAATGTGCACACCAACTCGAGGGATGGGCGTTCGTGACTCCCACTCGAAGGCCCAATGCGCCTGTGATGGGGTCGGTAGGAGGTGGAAGGAGGCAGAAGGAAGATGGTGAGATAGGTGGGTGTGACACACACAAAAAGCACCCCCCCTCTTACCCCCCCACACACAGGAGGAAACGCCCAGGCTTACCGAGTCATTGGCAAAGAACCACATGTAGTTGCCAAGCGTGGTGTGTGCAACGTGAGGTGAGACCGATCCGCAATGGGACTGCGGATCGACCAGAACTTGAACGCCGCATCGAAGCTGGCCCCGAACTTGCGTCCATGCATCTGCCCCACAAGCTCGCGGAACTTGGGCAGCACAGCGTGTGGAAGACAAAGGGCAGCTGCACCAAGAAGTTTGGCTGTTCTAGAGGAGCCCATAGAGAAGGAGAGAAAAGGCCAGAGCTTACCGAGTCGTTGGCAAAGAACCACATGTAGTTCCCGAGAGTCGTGTGTGCAACGTGCGACCGATCCGCAATGGGCCCGCGGATCGACCAGAACTTGAACGCCGCGTCGAAGCTCCCACCAAACTTGCGCCCGTGCAGCTGCCCCACGTGGTCTCGGAACTTGGGCAGCACGGCACGCGGGAAAACAAAGGGCAGCTGCACCATGAAGTTGGCAAAGTAGTGGCCCGGACCCACGAAGTAGCGGGATGAGGTGCGCCAGTTCTTGCCCTGCGTGCTCTTGCTGCCGATTATGAATGGCTTGCCGTCCGTTAAATTAAAAAGCAGTCCAGGAGTCACCTGAAGAAGACGGGGGGAGAGGGAAGGGGGAGGGACGGGGGAAAGGGAGGTAGGAGAGAGAAGAGGAGGGGAATTGGGGGAGCATGGGGTGAGGAGAAGGTGAGGGCGATTGGTGGTTTGGATGAGGGGAGTGTGAGGGGTGCGAGGTGGCAGCGCGAGGAGGAGCGCCAGTTCTTTGTTAGAAATAGTCAGTCAACACTTTGTACTATATTCTATATCGGTTAGGTTACTTTGTAGGTTGGGTGTAGATTTGTAATCCCAACCCTATCTGGTTGGGATTCCCTCGTAATCCTGCAAATCTGCCAACTCACCAATTGGAGATTTGCTAGGATTCCCATCCCATCCTTTCCCTAGCTTTGCTCAACCCAACCCTGTTTGTACTTAAGGCCTAGTGCCTTCCTTATCAAGTAAGCAGTTCAGTTCAAATTCTATCATGGTATCGAGCTAGTAAATTCCGCTCACGCGGAATCCGATCCTTGGCGTCCCGATGGTTCTCTCCTTCTAGGCTATGCGTATTTCGATTACCGGCTCCTACGCTTAGCGTTTTTTCAGAAACTTCACATCGTCGCTCCGGTCAAGCGCGCATTCGGCTTCGTTCATCGCGCATCTCGTTTTTCAACGGCGACATTCTCAGCCTTCGACTTCCTTCATCGTAAGCTTCTGGTGTTTATATCTCCGTGGCAATTTTTCGCATCTTCTTAACTTCAAACAGGTTTTCAGCGGCGCAGCAGAACAGGTCCAGCGGCGCAGCGGAACAGGTCCAGCGGCGCAGCAGAACAGGTCCAGCGGCGCAGCGGAACAGGTTTTCAGCGGCGCAGCGGAACAGGTCCAGCGGCGCAGCGGAACAGGTTCAGCGGCGCAGCAGAACAGGTTCAGCGGCGCAGCAGAACAGGTCCAGCGGCGCAGCAGAACAGGTCCAGCGGCGCAGCAGAACAGGTCAGCGGCGCAGCAGAACAGGTCAGCGGCGCAGCAGAGAAGCAGAACAGGTCAGCGGCGCAGCAGAACAGGTCAGCGGCGCAGCAGAGAAGCGGAACAGGGGCAGCAGCGAAGCAGATCAGGGGGCATCGGCGAAGCAGTATAACAAGGTAAATTACGGGCATTCTATTGACAAAATCGCGTTTCGGACTTCCTTAATTTCCAAATAACAGGGTTTCCGCTTCGCTCCGATAAGTATCGGAGACTTTAGCACTGCGCTCCGCGCGTAATGGCAACTTCAACTTCTACCCTCGTTGGAAACCTCATCATCCTTAACCTCGCTCCCAACGGCACGAGCACCAATTTCGGGGAGTGGTGCTATGGAGTGGAGAAGCACCTCCTTAGCTCGGAGCTCAAGGGGATTTGCCTCGAGGACATCCTCCTCAACCGCGGCAAGGGGAAGATGCCTCTCCCTCCCGATCCTCTCGGCGAAGGCGCCACTGCCACAGCCAAGCTTGCTTTCGACGCTAAGACCACCAAGTATGAGACGGACTTCAGTCTCTGGGAGCAGGCGGATGCGGCAGTGATTAGGGTTTTCATCACCACCACCCCAGTTGAGTTAGTCAAGTCCTACCGCACCTTCCGCTCTGCGCATGACATTTGGAAGTACCTCCATGATCGATTTCATGACAAAACTGCAGTGGGAGTTGCAATCCTCATTCCGCGCATGTTCCAAATCAGTCTTGAGGAATGCCCGGGCATGGCAGACTACATCTCTGAAATCCGCAACATCCATGAGGAGCTCAAGGACATTGGGATCACCTTCCCCGAGCAGGCACCTGCTGCTGGGCTACTCGTCGGACTCACCCCGGCCTACAACGTCACCAGTTCCATGCTCAAGCAGCTCCCCACCAAGGAACTCACCTTTGAGAAAGTCGCTTCGGCCCTTCTCTCCGCCGAAAAGGACCTTGCAGCCCAGGCATCCGTCAATGCTGTGCGCTACTCCCCTGGCATCCCATTTCGAACCCAGCAGGGCCAGAGGCGCAACTCCTTTCCCCCATGCCAGTACCTCATTAGGAAGGGTCCACGTGCGGGGCAGAAATGCAATGGCACCAACCGCCCTGAGGCAACTTGCTTCAAGAGGCGAGATGACGAGTGGTATGACGTCCACGGTGTCTCCAAGGACAAGCGCCCTCCCAACTGGGCACCACCCCGTCGCGTGAACCAGGTCGAGGCAGTGGAGGAACCTGCTCAGGCATTTGCTAGTGCCCCATTTGATGTTCGCCTTAACCTGTTGTTCTCTAGCGCTGGTCTTATTAATGAGAAGGGGTCGCAGTACATCGGTGTTTCAACCACACAGTGAATCGAGTTCATACTAGACAGTGGTGCCACCCACACAGTGCTTAAAGACCAAACTGCCTTCGTTCCCTACCAGGCTCCCACCTCACTCCTTGGAGCTGATTCTAGCTTCTCCATCCAATGCCATGGGTCCTCCACAGTCTCCTGTCCAGCTTTCCCATCCGGCACAGTCACTGGCATCTGTGCCCCCACCCTCCGCTACAACCTTCTTGCACAACGGGAAATCCAACACGCAGGCGTGATCACCATCTTTCCCAATGATGTTGACTACTGTGACATGTTTGACGCCAAAACCGGACTCCATCTTGCCCGCATCACCCTCAACTCCAACAACTTGTACACACTAGTTGTACCTCCCGTTCAAACATGCTCCCTCACCAACCTTCCGCTTCCATCCTCAGACTCCCCCTCATGTCACTGCCGCCTCCTCACTGACAAGACTATGCTATTTCATAACCGCCTCGGCCACATCAACTTCCGCGCACTTTCAGACCTTGCCACCAAACAACTCCTTCATGGGCTGCCCGCCTCACTTCCACAACCCCCCTCTCTTTCTGGACCGCCTTGCTTTGACTGTGCACAGAGCAAGCTTCGGGAACAGCCCCATCCTCCCACTGAGTCCATCTCTACCGCACCTCTCGATCGCGTACACATGGACCTGTCAAACATTATATATGTTGTTGTAGTTGTTTAGGCTACAGTGGGTTAGCCTATAGAGGGTACACATTCCTAGGTTTTCATACTTGTACTCATTTCACTCTTAGTTCATTCATTCTTGTTCAACATGGTATAGAGCAGGTCCTTCCTAGGACCGATTTTTTTTAGGGCCCACCACTACCTACCTACCTACCTGCGCCCTAGGGCGCCTCGGCTTTCACGCCCCTAGAGGCCCCGTCGGCCCCGCGCTCTCGCACCTAGAGGCCTCGGTCGGCCCCGCGCTCGCTTTTAGAGGCCCCGAATCGGCCCCGCGCTTACCCCTAGAGGCCCGCGTCGGCCCCGCGCTCGTCCTTACCGGCCCCAATAGGCCCCGCGCTCGCCCTTAGAGGCCCACGTCGGCCCCGCGCTCGTCCCTTACGGCCCCGATCGGCCCCGCGCTCGTCCCTCACGGCCCCGATAGGCCCCGCGCTCGCCCTTAGCACCCGCTCCCCGCGCTCGCCCTTAGCGGCCCCGAACGGCCCCACCCAGACCGAGCAGCCCGAACCGAGCCGACCCGAGCCGCCAGCCCTAACCGATCCGAGCCGCCCGAACCGAGCCGCGCCGCCCGAACCGAGCCGCCCGAACCGAGCCGCGCCGCCCGACCCGAGCCGCCCGAACCGAGCCGCGCCGCCCGACCCGAGCCGCGCCGCCCTACCTATACCGAGCCGCGCCGCCCTACCTGTACCGAGCCGCGCCGCCCTACCTACCCTACTGCTCCTACTGCTTTTCCTACTGCTGCTACCATGGCTAGCCCTCATGTCCTAGCCTTCGATACTGAGGGCCGCCCAGTGAAGTTCGACACCTGGCTTGATGACCTACACCTCTTCTTACAGCTCACTGCCAAAGAAGACATCTCGCTGTACGATCATGCCTTAGGCCACGCTACTGCTCCTGCTGCTACTGCTGACAGCACTGCCCGCTCACAGTGGCAGACTCGTGACGCCCATACTCGCTTCGCTATTCGCAACTCTCTGCCCATAGATGAGCGCGAGCACTTTGGGCAGCACAAGACTGCACAGGCACTGTACACTGCTGTCGTTGCCCGCTACTCCTCGCCGGCCTCTGCCGCTCTAGGCCGTCTCCCTTTTCCCTACCTGTTCCCCGACCTAGCTTCCTTCCACACTGTTGCTGATCTCATTACCCACCTCCGCACTAGTGAGGCTCGCTTCCGCGCCGCTATGCCTGATGAGTTCCTTGCCAAGAACCCACCCCCGCTCTGGCTCACTCTCTACCACCTAGTCACGCGCCTCCCTGACACTCTGCGCTCAGTCAGGGACCACTTCCTAGCTCGCTGCCCCACCGAGCTCACCATTGCCCTCCTCGAGAAGGAACTGCTTGCAGCTGAGGCTAGCATAGTCGCTGTAGGTGCCTCTCGCGGTGACCCCCGTACCCCGTTCTTTGAGGGGTGTTCTCCCTCCCCCCTTCTTCCCTCTGTCGCCTCTGCTGCTGCTGTCGACCTCCTTGGTGCTGAGAAGGTCGGGACTGCGTCTGCTTCGAGTGGGCACCGCAGCGGCAAGGGCAAGGGGGGCAAGGGCGGTGGTGGTGACAGCGGGGGTGGCGGTGGTGGGGGAGGTGGTGGTGGCGGGGGGGGGTGGCGCGGGTGGGGGAGGTGGCAGCAGTGGGGGGGGTGGCGGCAGCGGCGGGGGAGGTGGCCGGGGCGGAGGAGGTGGTGGGGGTGGCGGTGGACGGGGCAGCGGCCGGGGTTGGGGTGGTCGAGGAGGTGGCGGCGGCGGTGGTGGTCGTGGAGGCGCTGGCGGTGGCCAGGGCCAGCAGCACACTCCGTCGCCCCAGGAGGTCCGTGAGTGGTACTCTCAGCACGGGGGGGGGGGGGTGGCCTTAGCTGCACGTACGTCATTCGCACTGGTGACCGCACTGGCCAGCCGTGTGGGGGACCGCACGCCACACAGCGTTGCTTCGCTCGTCTGAACGACGCTTGGCGTGTTCAGTTCCCTCAAGCCACTGAGCTGCCCCGCTGGGTTGATCTCCTGAAGAAGGGGATTGATATTTATGCTCTAGACTTTGATGCTATTCTCACTGCCATGTATGTGATGTCTACTAATGGAGAGGGTGCTGAGTACCTGAGTGTCCCGCCCGACCCGGGCATTAGGACTAGTGCGTCTGCCACTCCAGGTACTCGCGTGCGACCTTGGCTTGCAGATCACCCTGGACAGAGCACGCCGCACCATTACCCTGACTCAGTCACACATGGTGCAGCAGGTCCTTCAGCGCTTCGGCTTCACGTACTCCTCGCCTCAGGCCTCTCCTCTGTCTACTCGCCACTTGCTCTCAGCTCTGCCTTCGGATGAGTCCGTAGAGTCGAGTGGCCCGTACCCAGAGCTTGTTGGCTGTCTCATGTACCTGATGACCTGCACACGACTTGACCTTGCATACCCTCTTAGCATTCTCGCACGATATGTTGCTCCTGGGAGACACTGACCAGAGCACATGGCTGCAGCGAAGAGGGTGTTGCGCTACTTGTGCAGTACGTCGGGCATGGGGCTAGTGCTTGGAGGGCGGAGTCCAGTGGTACTCACTGGACACGCAGACGCTTCTTGGGCTGACGACCAGGCTACGCAGCGGTCGTCACAGGGTTACACTTTCGGCCTTGGTTCCGGCTCTGTTTCGTGGCGGGCTACTCGCTCGTCTTCTGTTCTTGGCTCCAGTTGTGAGGCTGAGATCTACGCAGGGGCCATGGCTGCTCAGGAGCTTCGCTGGCTCACCTACCTGCTGACCGACCTTTGAGAGCCGCCTCGTTCTCCTCCAGTCCTGTACGTCGACAACAAGGCCATGCTGGCCTTGTGTCGGGAGCAGAGACTGGAGCACAGAACAAAGCACATTGCTCTCCGCTACTTCCTTGCTCGTGAGCTACAGCAGCGTGGTCAGTTGCGACTTGCGTACGTGGCCTCTGAGGCCAACACTGCTGATGTCTTCACCAAGGCTCTTCCGCCTTGTGATCATCAACGCTGCTGTACCCAGCTGGGTCTTGTGTCTGTCTTGCCTCACTTGCTCTCTTCTTGACCCTCTTTGTACTGTTACATATATATATCATTGCTCTTGCTTGTTTAGTCTTATATATATATCTGTACTCCTGCATGTGAATTGGCCTTGTGGCCTTGCACTTGTGCTTGGATTGTGTGGTGACGTTGTGATCCACCCAGAGCTTGCTTTGTTTTGCTTTACTTGACTGGTCTTGTGACCCCTAGTTCTCCCCCATTTCGCCTATGGGGGTGTGTCAAACATTATATATGTTGTTGTAGTTGTTTAGGCTACATTGGGGTAGCCTATAGGGGGTACACATTCCTAGGTTTTCATACTTGTACTCATTTCACTCTTAGTTCATTCATTCTTGTTCAACAGGATCTTTGGGGTCTAGCTCCTGTTCGTTCCCGTGGCGTACACTTCTACTTCCTTGTCATCGTTGATGACTATTCCTGCTATGTGTCCGTTCACCTTCTCACCGCCAAGTCTGAAGCCCCAGCCATCATCATGAAATGGGCCAGGCAGGCTCATTCACACTTCAAAACCAAAATCAAGATTCTTCACTCTGACGGTGGCGGTGAATTCCGCAAGAACACTCTCAAAGCTTTCTGCTCTACTTAGGGTATTCGTCAGACCTTCACTCTCCCAGACAGCCCTCAACAGAACGGTGTTGCTAAGAGCCGAAACCGCATCCTGGTGCAGATTGCTCGCTGCCTTCTCACTCATGCTTCCGTCCCTCCCTCTCTTTGGGGATACGCCATGCTCCATGCTACCGCCCTCCACAATCTCCATCCTCATCCTCACCACACCCACACCACCCCCGCAGAGGTGTGGATGGGTCAAAAGTCGTCCGTCCGCCCTCTTCGTGTATGGGGGTGCACTTCCTATGTCCTCCTCAACTCCCAAGCCCGTCGCGCAGCTGGCGGCAAGCTTGCTCCGAAAACAATCACATGCGTGTACCTCGGGCACAACTCGGACTCGCCAGACTACCTCTTCCTCCATCCTCCCACCAACAAACTCTATCGCACCCGAGATGTTTTCTTCAATGAATCCCACCCATTCTACCCCTCCTCCACAGTTTCTCCTTCTCCTCCGCCTCCCTCTCTTACTTGGGCTGACTTTGACAGCCTTCCTCCTGCCACCACTCCATCTCCTCCTCTTCCCGCTCCCTCCACAGTTTTCGGCCCCCCGTCACCCGCTTCCCCATCCAGCACCACGCAGTCTCCCCCGCTCCAACCCGCCCTCGAGCCGATTCCTCTCAAAACCTACCAACGCCGTCCTCCTGCTGCTGCTCCTCCTCCTGATCCAGCTCCTGCTCCTGATCTGGCTCCTGCTCCAGATCCAGCTGCTGTTCCTGATGCTGCCACTCCACCTGCTGTTTCCCCTCCTCTAGCTCCGCCTCCCTCCCCCATCGCTGATCGCACCCGCTCGCGCAAAGCTCCCAAGCCTCTTTCCCTTTCCATTCGTGTCTCTCTCAATCCTCCTGTCGGGGGTGATTATTTGCTCATGCCCTCCCTTCTTGTGGACAGACATGAGGAGTTGATTGAGATTGACTCAGCCGTACACGCACTCTGCTCCCTCTTTCCAGATATCGCAAAATCTCCCACCCTCAACTTCTCGGACAACCCCTCCATCCCCACACCTCTCACCTATGCTGAAGCAGTTTCTGGTCCTCACGCCGCTCAGTGGCTAGGGGCCATTGTCGCAGAGTGTGAGGCCTTCATTCACACAGGAACTTTCACAGATGTCTTTGCTCCCTCCGGCGTCAACATTGTGAAGGGAAAATGGGTTTTTCGGGTGAAACAACTTCCAGGCGAGTTTTCCGTCTTCAAAGCCCGGTACTGTGCCAAGGGATTTACCCAAAAGCATGGACTGGACTTCTTTGAGACATTCTCTCCCACCGCCAAACCTCCCACACTGCGCACCCTTCTCGATGTTGCCGCTCGAGATGACATGGAGGTTGACTGCATGGATGTGTCCTCTGCGTTTCTGCAAGGGATCCTTCGAGAGGAAATCTACATGGAGCGGCCCGAAGGATTTCCAGCTCCCTTTCCACCAGGCACTATATGGCCTCAAGCAAGCACCCCGGGAATGGCACAACAAGCTCAAGAGCACCTTAGGGTCCCTCGACTTTCACCCATCCACCTCTGACCCCAGCCTCTTCATCCGAGCAACACCATCCCGCTTCTTCATCTTGGTTCATGTCGATGACATGATCCTTGTCACCAAGGATCAGACTGAGCTGGCAGCAGTCAAAACCGCACTTGGTGAGAAGCTGGCCATGAAGGATCTTGGGAAGCTGACGAACTATCTGGGCATGGAAATCACACGTGATCGCACGGCCCGCACCATCATCCTCTCGCAGAAAGTTCTACATCAACAATGTTCTGACCAGGTTCAAGATGCAGGAAGCAACTTCAATGCCCACCCCACTCTCTCTACATCACCAACTCACTGCACCCTCTGTTCCCTCACCTGAGCCTTGTGATGAGGCTTACCTTGAGCTCGTCGGTTCCCTCATATACGCGATGATGTGCACTCGACCAGACTTGGCCTATCCAGTCGGTGTCCTGTCTCGCTACGTTGCACCTGGTCGCTTCACGAGCCACCACTGGTCTGCCGCCAAGCGGGTCCTCCGCTATCTCAAAGGCACACAGGACTATGTGCTCACTTTTGGCGGCTCTTCCCCTGTTCGCCTTGAGGGGTACAGTGACTCGTCCTATGCTCATGACCAGAGTGATCGGCGCTCTTCCCAAGGGTATTGCTTTACCCTTGGCAGTGGGGTTGTCAGTTGGCGCTCCACTCGGTCGTCTTCCGTCTCACTGTCTACATGTGAGGCAGAGCTGTATGCCGGGACCATGGCTGCCCAAGAGGCTCGTTGGCTCTCCTTCTTACTGGCAGAACTTGGGTATCCTCAACCAGCCCCAACGCTTTGGTGTGACAACGAGAGCACCATTCATCTCACAAAGGACCCCGTCATCCACGGCCGCACCAAGCACATTGAGGTCCGTCACTACTTTCTTCGTGAGCTTGTGCAGCGCGAGCAGCTTAAGGCTGAACACATTGCCTCCGACTGCAACCTTGCTGACTTGTTAACTAAGTCTCTTGTTCGCCAAGACCACTACCGCCTCCTCTCGTCCATGGGTGTTGGGCCGCCATGTGGCTGAAGTGTTGTCAGCCTAGGGGGTGTGTTGGAAATAGTCAGTCAACACTTTGTACTAAATTCTATATCGGTTAGGTTACTTTGTAGGTTGGGTGTAGATTTGTAATCACAACCCTATCTGGTTGGGATTCCCTCGTAATCTTGCAAATCTGCCAACTCACCAATTGGAGATTTGCTAGGATTCCCATCCCATCCTTTCCCTAGCTTTGCTCAACCCAACCCTGTTTGTACTTAAAGCCTAGTGCCTTCCTTATCAAGTAATCAGTTCAGTTCCAATTCTATCATTCTTGCCCTGCGTGCTCTTGCTGCCGAGTATAAACGGCTTGCCGTCTGTTAAATTAAAGAGCAGCCCGGGTGTCACCTGGTAGCGGGGGGGGGGGGGGGGTGGCGAGGGGTGGCGGTTTGGGGGAGGGAAGGAATGACTCATGGAGTAGTTGCAGAGAAAAGAATGGGTTGGGAGGAGACGTCAGGTCAGGACTCGGATGCGCGCGCACACACGTGCACGAATGCACCAAGCATGTGTGTGTGCGCACTTACCTTGAGGTTGAATGAAAATGACGTCATCGTCTATGATGGCAATGTACAGGGTTGTGGTGAAAGTGTCAGTCCGACCCTTGAGGTTGAAGATCATCATTCCAGCAGTCCGACCCTTGAGGTTGAAGATCATCACTCCAGCAGTCCAGCAGGAGCTCACCTTGAGGTTGAAGATGACGTCATCATCTATGATGGCAATGTAGGGCGCGGTGGTGTAGTTGTCGGCCCACAGGTAGCTCCACTGCTGCACCAGCTTGGGTGTCAGGCCCAGGTAGTTCTTCTCATAGTAGATCTGGTGAGCACTCGAGGGAAAGGGGAAGGTAGCACGACAAAGGGAAGGGAGAGGGAAAAGGTTTAGCGACAATTTCAGTGCTGCACTAGCTTGGGTGTCAGGCCCAAGTAGTTCTTCTCATAGTAGATCTGGTGAGCACTCGAGGGAAAGGGGAAGGACACGCGAGGGGAAGGCAGGGGAGGGAAGGTAGGACTTGAAGGCCTGTCATGGGAGGGCGTTGACCTTGACCATAATTGACTGCATAGACCCACCTTGCCCTGCATTGACTGCGTTGACTCACCTTGACCCTGGGAGAGTGCAAGGGACACCCAACATGACGCACTTTGACGCACTTTGACCCACCTTGACCCACCTTGACCCACCTTGACCCGCGTTGACTCACCTTGACCCAGGGCGGCACGATGTCCTCCACGTGGCGATCGCTCTCATCCAGCACCAGGATGACGTCACCAATGCCAGCTGGCCACATCTGCTCGATGCTGGCAAAGAGGAACGCCGTGAGGAAGAAGTTGTCCGACACGTAGCTGCGCACCACCAGGTCCACCCGTGCCGGCCACAAGGGACTGAGGGATGGGGAGCGCGGGGGAGTTGGGGGGAATGGGGGGAGCAGGGAAGGGGGAGCCGTGAGGAAGAAGTTGTCCGACACGTAGCTGCGCACCACCAGGTCCACCCGTGCGGGCCACAGGGGACTGAGGGGGGCAGGATGGAAGGATGGGAGTTGGAAGGATGGAAGGGGGTGGGGATGGGCGGAGGAAGAAGTTGTCCGACACGTGGCTGCGCACCACCAGGTCCATCCGCGCGGGCCAGAGAGGGCTGAGGGCCGAGGGGGGGTTGGGGGAGATGGGGGAGATGGGGGGGAAGGGGGAGCAGGGAAGGGGGAGTCGTGAGGAAGAAGTTGTCCGACTCATAGCTTCGCACCACCAGGTCCACCCGTGCCGGCCACGGTGGGCTGAGGGAAGACGTGGGTGCAGAAGGGGGTGTTCAAGGGAGGTGGGGAAGGAGCGTGGGGTGGCAGGTTGAACGGCAATGAAGAGGTGCTCTCAAGCTCACTTGAAGGTGTAAAAAGTACCGCTTCTTACACCTTCAAGCTCACCTGAACGTTTAGTTGGATTGGAGTCACCTGTAAGCTTCGTCATAGAGTGAGAGAGAAGCAGCTACTTGACACAGTAACCCGCCCTGTATTCCTGTAGAGGCGACGCTGCGATAATCTGAAGGTATAGGAGCTCCCTGAACCTTTCGTTTGGCTCACCTGCACGCCTCGTCATGTAGCGAAAGCAGCTCCTTGACGCAGTACACGTGAGCCCAACGAAAATGCGTCAGGTACCCCGACCTTGACACAGCTCCTTGACGCAGTACCCCGACCTCGTTCGCCTTTGAACACTGCGGCAACTTCAAGGTATAGAAAGCACCTGACCGTTTCGTTGGGCTCACCTGTACGCTTCATCATAGAGCGAAAGCAGCTCCTTCACACAGTACCCCGACCGCGTTCGCCTGTGGCACCGATTGTAGCACCTCCGATTGCCGCTGGTACCGGGATTCCCGCTGACACCGCCAATTCCCCCACACGGGTCCTGCAGCCGCTGCAACCCCTCCGCCGTGTAGTACGTCGTTGGGTCAACCGTCGTTGCGGGGATCGCTGCTCCGTCAGCAGACGCTGACGTGTACTCTGCAGGAGCTGACGTGGCGGCTGGTGATGTGGAGCTTGCGGCGTCTGACGCACCAGCAGCTGTAGTAGCCTCAACCGTAGCAGCAGGCGTGGCAGGCTCACCAGCAGAATCAGCAGCAGCAGCTGATCCGCCAGCCTCACCACCAATAGCACCCCCTCCCCCTTCCCCACCAGCACCATTCGCAGCAGCGGCAGCCGCAGCAGCCGCTGCTTCTGCTGCTTTTGCTGCGTCGTCGTCAGCAGCAGCAGCCTGATCAGCGGGGACCTCAACCACCTCCTTGATATCTCCGCCGCTCTTAATCTCCTCTTTCGCCTCCTCCTTCACCTCTACTCTTACCTCTGCTTGCGGCTTTTTCTTGCGAGGAGCAGGCTTTCTGGCGGGAGCACGTCTTTTGGCGGGAGCAGGCTTTTCCGCGCGAGCAGGCTTTTCCGCGGGAGCAGGATTTTCGGCGGGAGGAGGATTTTCGGCGGGAGCAGTTTTTTTGGCGGGTTTGGCCGGTCTGGGACGACCGCGGGATCTCAGCACGCGACGCCGAGGGGTTTCAGGGGAGAATAATGTTGAGACATCGCTTAACGAGACTGCGGGGAGATTGTTCAGGTGTGACGAATCGACGGCTGCGATTTCTCCGATGGACATTCGGCCGAGGTGGAAGGCAGCGGCGAGCAGCAGCACGAGAACCACGGTCGACATGGCGACAAGACGCGCCGCTTGACGGTACGACAGCACGACGATCGGAGAGCCGTTCGAATCATTCGAGCCGTTCGAGCGGTTCGAGCCACGCGAGACATTCGAGCCATTAGGGTCGGCATTTTGTTGGTTCGACGAGGGGTGAGGCTGAGACGACATAGTCGCTTTCGTGTCGTCGGAAGATAAGCTACGCTGCGAAGCCATGGCTTCCATGCCCGATAAGAACCACGGAGACGACAATGCGAGGTACGCCTTAGATCAGGCAATAATTAAATAACAAATGTCGCAACTACTAATACTTAGTCAGTCTAAACTCGTCGGTAGCCGTTGTACAGCTAGCGAGAAAGCACGCCAACGAAGTGTTCAAGGAAATTAAACTAGGCGGACCGGACAGCCAGATCCTGGCCCTGATTTCGCCTGACGGCAATGACGGACGGCAAGGCGAGGTGGTTGAGCAAACAGGAGCAGACAGAAGCAAGTGTTGTTATCCCTATGATCATCATGAGCATTGATGTGTTGAGTCCTGATTTCTGAAACAGGAGGTCGAGGGCGTGTTTCAAGTTTGATGCCGCTCCGTCCAATTTGGTTTGGTACGTTGGATGGCAGGAGCAACTGGTGCAAACGGCTCTAGTTGTAAGGAAAAACCCTTTTCCTTAGGGTTTACTCAACCGCGTACATCCCCAACTTTCGGAAGTGCACGTTCGGCCACTTCGCTTGCTGCCGAAGCAACCTCGCGTCGCCTTCGGCCTTTCCTTTGCCCAACCTGCACCCAACCTCGTGTTCCCGAGGTTCCCGCCTAGCTAGGTTGGCCCACTATATTAGCGCGTACCTTCATTGTATTGCCAGTTCATTGAGTCACATCTTCGTTATTCGTTATTCCGCGCACTCTCTTTAACAACTCATAACACCTGGTATCAGAGCTACTTTCCTAGTTCACCCCGCTTTTCGAGGGTAGTTTGGTGGCACGGGTGTGGTCGGTATAGTGGACAACACGACGGTTGGCTGCAAGGTTTGTTAATTCAATCCTGCCCGACTCCGATAGTTCGTGTTTTCCACTCACCGGAGGGCCACGGATACCCCTCTGCCCACCAGACGAAGCGTGCGACTCATGGACCAGGAGACATTGAACAAGATGCTGGCGCAAATGGCAGAGCTACAGGCAACAGTGCAGACTCTATCGGCAGAAGTGACAACACTACGAGGAGAAAACGCCGAGCTACGCCAGACGCGAGGTGAAGCCCGTCAGGAGTCGCCCGATGAAGAAGGCGAGGGCAACAGTCAAGCGGTGAGCAACCCGTTGGACGCGCTCACACGTGATTTCGAAGAAGAGGATAGGCAGCGAGCGGCAGCGACGCCAATTGCAGTAACAACGATTAAGATTAAACCCGTCAACCCGCCCCCGTTCAACCCTATGGACAAGACTACTACAGTGAAGGGGTGGCTTTTCGGCGTTGAAGTCTTCTTCACTGCAGCAGGCGTGAACGACGATGCCACGCGTATTAATTACGCGGTTTCTCTCCTTCGAGGCGCAGCGCTTGAGTGGTGGCGCCGAACCTTGGACACGGGGACCCCGATAGGTGTGACACATGCGGCAGACGGTGTCAGAGGTCCACTGGTGATCCCCGATCGATCCTAGGGAAGGGTTACAGGCACATTTGCCTGGGGGGTTATGGGCGCACTGACCCGCTACTGAAACAAGCCATTTTATCCCAATGGTCTAGTGGTTGGGATTCTGAGATGGTATCAGAGCGAAGGTCTCGGGTTCGAATCCCGGTGTATGCACTTCGGGCATCCCAGTGCGGGGGGGTGTCAGAGGTCCACTGGTGATCCCCGATCGATCCTAGGGAAGGGTTACAGGCACATTTGCCTGGGGGGTTATGGGCGCACTGACCCGCTACTGAAACAAGCCCTTTTATCCCAATGGTCTAGTGGTTGGGATTCTGAGAGACGGGACTTCAACGACGGTTAATCAAGTGGCAGCACCGATATTCGGCGTGACCAAGATACGCACGTGGAAGGAGTGGGGCGCAGCCTTACGAGATCGATTCGAGCACATATCCGGCTCGGAACAAGCTCGCATGAAGCTGCATACCTGGTCGCAGTTGGCATCTGTCCAAGACTACACAGCAACGTTCATGGGCCTCACCGACCAAGTGGACGACATGTCGGAAGCGGAGCGGTTAGACAAGTACGTCAACGGCCTTAAATACGAGATACAGTATGAGGTGCGCCGATGCCGCCCGACATCGTTCCTGGAAGCAGCACGATTGGCAGAATCCACGGACGCGCTGATGCAGTAAGCGAGGTCGAGTTTCCGGAAGGGAAATCGTTTTCGCGGCCAGACCCAACGGGCCACGATCAACGGAGTCCATGCACCAGACCGCTCCTACACAGGGTTGTGTTATAAGTGCGGGAAGATGCAGACTGCCCCGAGAAAACGCCGGCGAAGAGGAACGACGGGGAAAGAGTCGGGAGATGGGAAGAGTCACTAACAGACGGGCCCCTTACTGACTGTGCTCTGTCGCTCCGAACACCATCATCCCCACCGAGTCGTGGTTCCGATTCATGCAATCGATCGCACTCGGCCGAATAACGGGGATAACCATGTGGATCACCCTGTGCTGGTCGTTGGCAAAGTGTTAAAAAATTACTTGAAAATGTTCGTCGACGGAGGGGCCAGCCACAGCCTCTTCAACTTAGCGACAGCAAAAAAATGCAAGCTGCAACTTGACAGGTGTCTGCCCGAAATCGACGCTCGCCTCGTGGATGGGACGCCTCTGGCGATTTTGGAAGAAACACGGACGGTGCGGATCGAATGCGGCGACGATTTCGGCTTCAGCATGAAGTTTCTCGCGACAACGTTGGACGGCTGCGACGTGCTGCTGGGACGTGATTGGCTGCAACGGCACAACCCCGTCATCGACTGGACAACGGGATCGTGCAGCATCAACAAGCACGAGGGGCTCATTAAATTGCCTGCAAGGACACCTGACTATTGCTATCACTATTGCTCGCCAAGCCCCGTGCGTCAAAGCTATCACTATTGCTCGCCACTTCAACCGAGGCGCGCAGCTGTTCGCCGTATGTTTGCGCGAGTTGGCAACCGACACCGACGGAAAGGACATCGAGAAGCTGTGCGCAACTGTACCACCTGATTTAGCGGAGCTGATTCGACAGTACCCGGACATCTTCCCCGACGATCTGCCACCTGGACTGCCACCCGAACGCCCCGAGGACCACAAAATCCAGCTGGAGCCTGGCGCGCAGCCGATTGTTCGTACACAGTGGCGGTTGACCCAACCAGAACTCGAGGAGCTGCGACGACAAATTGAGGGACTGTTGGAGAAGGGTTTATTCGACCCAGTACATCCCCCTTCGCAGCCCCGATCCTGTTCACGCCGAAAAAGGATGGCGGGCTTCGCATCTGTATCGACTATCGCGACCATCAAATCTCGCTACCCAATCCCACGCACCGACGACCTCATCGATCAACTTCGCAGTGCTCGCTACTTTTCGAAAATCGACTTGCGTGGTGGTTACCACCAGATTTGGGTCTTCGCCGACGACTGTCACAAGACCGCGTTTCGCACCCACTACGGAAGCTACGAATTCACAGTGATGCCGTTCGGCCTCACAAACGCGCCTTCAACATTTCAACTGACCATGAACAGGATTTTCCGGGAATTCTCGACAAGTGTGTGATCGTCTATTTGGACGACATTCTGATTTTTGGGGCACATCATCTCACGCGACAGCATCAAAATTGACCCGGCTAAAATCAAGACTATTCATGAGTGGAAGTCCCCGACTAACATCACGGAACTTCAGAGTTTTCTGGGCTTCGTGAATTACGTCAGGCGGTTTATCCCGAATATGGCGGGGATAACCAGCCCGCTGACCGACCTGCTGCACAAGGACAGGAATTTCGTGTGGGGGAGGAAGCTGAGGCGGCTTTTCAGGAGCTGAAGAATTTTCTCGTTTCCCCTCCGGTTTGCGCATCGCCGACCCATCGAAGCCGTTCGAAGTCGGTCACCGACGCCTCAGATTTCGCCATCGGAGTTGTACTCCTCCAGGATTTCGGGAACGGGTTGCAGCCGATCGCCCACGAGTCACGCAAACTGCTGGCAGCTGAGCGCAACTACCCGATTCACGACAAGGAGATGCTCACCATAATACACGCGTTCAAACTGTGGCGTTGCTACTTGGTAGGCGCTGAAGTCACTGTTCGCACGGACCACAAATCCTTACAGTACCTGCGAGCTCAGCCCAACCTCAACCCGCGACAAATTCGGTGGTTGGACTACATGGAGATTCATTTCACCTACCGCATCACGTACAAGAAAGGGGCGAATAACATCGCCGATGCCCTTACTCGACCGACAGTTCAATCCGCTGCAGTGCTCATCACCCATTCGAACCCGCTACTTACGGGACAATTCTATCAGAGGTCCATTGATGATCCCCGATTGATCCTAGGGAAGGGCTACAGGCTCGTTGTCCTGGGGGGTTATGGGCGCACTGACCCGCTACTTAACGAGCCATTTTATCCCAATGGTCTAGTGGTTGGGATTCTGACATGGTATCAGAGCGAAGGTCTCGGTTCGAATCCCGGTGTGTGCACTTCGGGCATCCCAGTGCGGGGGGGTGTCAGAGGTCCACTGGTGATCCCCGAATGATCCCGGCAGGCGACAACGCTGAAGGGGGAACTAGTACCTAAGGCCGGAACTGACCGGATTTGGGTTCCCGCTTACGACTGCTGTGTGAACTCCTCATTCAGGAGGTCCATGATTCTAACCTTTCCGGACATTTCGGGTTGATAAACCCAGAAGCTGTTGCACCGTCAATATTATTGGCCTGGTTTTGCTAACGACGTGCAGCGATATGTGTCCTCATGCAGGGTGTGCCAAGCCATGAAATCGACACGTCAGCGGCCAGCTGGACTGCTGCAACCCCTCGAGCCACCCGAACGACCGTGGCAATAGGTGACGATGGACTTCGTCACGGGGCTGCCAGCCGGGCCATCCGGGGCAACGCGCGCGGTTTCTCGCGCGTCGATCGCTCACGAAGATGGCGCACTTCGCAACCGTTATCGTACGACAATCACAGCCGAAGAAACTGCGCGCCTCTTCATCCCAACAGTCGTGCGACTGCACGGAATCCCCGCGGCGATCATCAGCGACAGGGACCTGAAGTTCACATCGAAA